AAGTTTTACTGTTCTGGCAAGAAGAGTCTTATCTAATTTAAAAAGCACATTGAAAGTCAGAGCAGTACTCTTACAATCAGGTAAACAACACCTTCAATATTAATGTCATTCTTGGCTTCTAATGTGAGTGAAAACATGATGCATTCAGAGATTATCCCAAGGGATTTTAAATATCAATGATAGCTCTGAAAAGTGAATCCCAGGTCATTGCTAACAGGTCCCACTTCAGGAATCCAATTGCAGTGGTCTTACAAGTGGCTGCTAATGCCACCCTAACTGCCACTATATCTTCAGCAATTTGCTCAGTTTGTCCCAGATTGTTACAAGTATTTCTTTAAAAGTAGTAAACCAAGCTTTCATTGAAGAGGATAACATGACTTGTGATTCCTCACTAAATCATGTACTGACTATATGATTGGTATTAAATATCCTGAAGGCTCATGTCATCACTAATTTATTAACAAGACTTTTATTCTTTGAAAAATAAAATCACTCATCTTACTCAGTTGATTATTCCTTGATTCATATACAAACGGATGCTAACATGAGGTAAAAATAACTCTAACAGTGAAATTTCATAATCTTAATGAACAAAGTATTAGCTACTTTATCTATTACAACATGGAATAGCTATATCATGGAATGTGTCATATCTTATTGATACCAGAAGACCTACTGAATTCCCTAAGAGGGAACCACCAACTCTATAAAGTTTATAAACTGAGGTAATGCTCTGATGGTAATCCACTTCAACTGCAGAAATATGAAATACTATATATATATGTAGTATATATACTACATATATATATAGTATATGTAATATGTAATGTAATGTAATATGTATATGTAATATGTAATACTATATATATATAGTATATATATAATATATATATACTATAGATATGGTTTATTCTTTTACCTCAGGAAGCTGAATTATTTTATTTCTTCTAAAGAAGTTTACAGAATGAAGGAGGAAATATATATCAGGATAAATTATGTTAAAGAATAACCTGGACCCAGAGAAAATCTTGATTTTTTGGTATAATTTCCCTACAAACCACCTATTAATTAGGTGTAACCAACTAATGTTGATTTTATAAGCTGAAGCTCTTAAAGATTTAGCTGAGTTATTTAATAAAAGTTTTTCTATTTCTTAGGTTGTTTTTCTTGTACCTTAACAACTTTTGTATGGTGTTCATGGATGATACATCCACTGAGTCATTTGGGTGGGAAATTTTTTTTAAAGCTGTTTTATTTTACAGAGTTCAAATAACTTTGTAATTAAGCAGAAAACAAATAATTGCCAACAAGCAATTATCATTCAATTAAAGAGTAATTACATGGTTATTTGTTCCCTGTATAATAAAGCATTACTGAAATAAGTAACACAATCAATATTTCAGCAGAGATAGGATGCTGCAATGATGGACCTTTCAACCTATGCTGATTAAATTGTCATCCAAATAACAGTTTTCTAGTTAAATCACCACATGTTTATTTGTCTTGATTAATATGTAAATATCTGCCTGATGCTAATAAAGCTCTTAAAGATAAGAAGGTGGATCATCTGTTAAGAATGATCTTTTCCAACTTTCTACAGTGTCCTCCATAGTCTTGCATCATGTTGTTAGGTTTGTGTTCTTTGAAAAGAAATGCAGGCATTAAGGAGGGCATGAGATGTGATGAGCACTGGGTGTTATATGCAACTGATGAATTACTGAGCACTACATCTGAAACTAGTGATGTACTATATGTTAGCTAATTGAATTTAAATAAAAAAATGCAGGAACTTTAGTGCTAGGAATGCCTTACTAGAGAGGGTCATTAAGTCTAAAGGTAAAAATAAAGCTATCTTCTATTAGTATGGAACTTTATTGAGTATAAAGCACTTTTAGAAATTTGATTCTAATTAATTTATTCTAGGGGTCCAAGTATTCTTTCCAAAAATAGAAACAAAGACATCTGAATGTGATTTTTGCTCACCGAAAAATTTAAACAAGTTTGGATATCATACAATTATACCAACTAAAGAGTTAATCAAAACTTTAAACAATAGGTCAGACACACATCTCTATCACTAGACCATAAGCTCTTCAAAGATAGAAGCTGTTCTAGGTATTCACATTATATCAATAAACAAAGAGACCAAAACCATTGCCTTTGTTAAGCTTCAATTTTAACCTCTATAATCCTCATATATAGTACCATGCCAGACACACACTGGTTGGGCACTTAGAGCATGTTTGTTTACTGGATGATGAAGTGTTTACTGAATGATTGAATAAGTGATATTGTCACTGCAGATGTGTAACTCCAGGGACCTTTAGTCCTTGAGTGGTTCTTGAAGTGGTATAAGTGGCATCTACCCATCTTTAACCTTGTGCGTAGTTGCATTTAACCTTCTTTAGCTTTGTACATATTCATATTCAAGTGGATCATATCTTGAAGCTCCTATAATTATTGTGGATTTCAAGATTTAAGAATGATTATCTGATGATTAAATGTTGCAACCAACTTGCTATTCATGTAGTCAAGGAGAAGAGAGTGATTTAAGGAATATTTGGAAACTCTAGCAACAGTGAAATATTTCCTATTAACTGAGTTAATTAACAATTTACTGGACCCTACTGTGTGTAGATACCATGAGAATTGCTCAGGATGCAGTGACAAAATCAGAGATATATACAGCCTTCATAGAGTGTACATTCTTATTGGGGAGACTCAATCATACCAACCAACCAACTGAAAAAAATGTTAGGATTGAGAATATGGTCCTCTTGGTTTATAACATATGTAGTAAATACTACCAAGCCATTTATAACATAAGCCATGAATTCCCCAATATAGATATGATGGTGGGAAATTTTACCAATTTTTTTTCAAATCTTGGAATTTAAGGTAGAACCACCTGAGAAACCTCTAATGCCTCTCAAATGTGAGTCAGCTCATTGGAAAAGAGCTACTTCAAATTGTGAGATTGACCAAGAAATTTGGAACAAATCTAGTTAAACCTTAAAGGTTTCAAAGTGCACTGGCTCATTATATGGAAATAGAAGGAACATCAGACTGCTTAGTTCTGGGGGCAGTCTGAAAGTGATGGTGAGCATGAAGACAACACTGAAATGTTTACATTGGAAAAGTACAAAGTAATAGGGTAGACTTGAATAAAGTTAGTAGCCTTGTATTCTGACTAATGAAAAGACAAAGAAGCACTTAGAATGTACAGATTTGGTGAAGCTTATTCAACTTCTAATGACTGTATATACAGTGATGAACATTGTTCAGTGATCTTGGGATCCTTGGCATTTGAAGTAAATAGCTCTTCTCTTATCACTTCCTTAAAAGAGGAAGCCATAAAACAAGGTAAAGGCAAACAGGATAACAATACTGAATTAAATAAAATAAGTTATGGCTCAGAATCGAGTGGAAAGAAGGAGGGGAGAGTCACTTTATAAAATTGAAACATTTAATGAGAAAAACAGAATCTTTCATGCTAAATTGATATACAATATTGATGTACAACGAAAGTAAATAACACCAGCACAGTGTATGAAAAATAAAATGGGCAATGGTACCTCTGTGTGAGGTTGCTAGAAGTTGTCTTCATTTAAAAAGCTGAGTTTATCTTACATTGATGGAGCACTTTGCTACTGCAAAATTGATAGAATAAGGTTTAACTTAAACTTTTTTGTGTGAACCAAAAGTCATTTTTGGAAATGTTTTCTATCTGAACCTCATACATTTTTGTGGCTTCGGTTATTTAATATAGTTTCAGTATTTTGTCAAAAGCCCTATTATTCAGCTTTTAAACTGCATTTTTACTGAAAACCAATAGAAATATCTTAGGCAATATTAGAAACTAATATTTGAGATATATTGGATGACTTGAGAATAACTTGATCCTAACGTTCAATGACTTAAAAATCTCTTCATTTTTTTATTAAAGATTTTTATTTATTTATTTAACAGAGAGACAGAGAGAGCACAAGTAGGCAGAGCGGCAGACAGAGGGAGAGGGAGAAGCAGGCTCTCTGCTGAGCAGGGAGCCCGATGCAGGGCTCGATCCCAGGACCCTTGGATCATGACCTGAGCCGAAGACAGCCGCTCAACTGACTGAGCCACCCAGGCGCCCCAAAAATCTCTTCATTTTGTGACAGCTTCCAAATGATGTAATCAGTACACTGACTGTATTAAAGTCATAGAAGCCAGATACTGACTATTTTATTACTTTATGGATTAACATTTGCAACTGCAATTCCTGAACTGCTCACACTAAGGTGAAGAATGTGCAAATGGAATAGGTCAGATTAATGCTATGAATTTAGCCTCAACTCATCAGTTAAAAACACTAATATATCTGTGAGAAAAAACAGCCTAGATAGCAAAAGTGGCAGGTTTTGTTAGTACAGCCACTCCAAGAGAGTGCACTACTGGTTATATAGCCTGGTTTAAATAATAGGTAGATTTAAAAAATCTACTGAGAGTGAGGGTCCTTTGTTCCTGGTCGTCTCCTGGCATCTGTGGAAATGCTAAAAAAAAATCACATCATATTCCCCATCTCTTAGCTCTTTACCCCTTTACCTCTCTGTGCAGAGACTTAACCACTTCACATTCTATACAATCTGAATTCTGTGAGTCACTATCTCAGGTCTCAGTAGCACGTACTAATAATACTTGGGATCAAATGTAGCTTTAAACAGGAGGTAACTTTGGGTTTCTCACAACAAGTAAGCTGTATTGCAAAGGGCTGCCTTGAAAACATAATCTAAACTAAAAATTAGTCTTTTATGGTTTTAATTTTTGCCATAACTATGTTGGGAAATTGAGTAGAAAGAAAAGTATTGGTCTTTTGGTAATCAATGAAAATAGTCTTTAAAATAAAATTCTATCACTCTTGGTAATTAAAAAAGATTAAGGAGACAAATATAGCAAGTGATGGTATTTCCAAAAAGAGTACATTTTTTTTAACCTGATCTTTGTTTTTGTCTGTTTTTCAACAGTTCCAGGCCTGGCAGGCCTCCTAAGCGTTCTTTGGGAGTGTTGCAGGACAATGCTCACCTTCTGCCCCATTCAGTCCCCGGCCTTTTATCACCAGGACTTATCACTCCGACAGGTAATAAAATCCATCTGATGATCAGCCTTGTCTGTTCATACTGCCCAGAATTAGAAATAAACTAATATTGATCTAACTGTCTTGTCCTTCAGAGCTTTTCAAGCTGTACTAGAGGTTACATTATTGAATTTTTAAAGTATTCAAGAAAACGGTTTTGTTATTCTAGTGACTCAAATAAAATGGACATGACTCTTTAAAAATAATTGTCATTTCCTTGTAGGAAATCCCTTTCAAGGCCTTATTGTATGTATATTTTTGTGTGCTGGGGGCAGTGATGAGGGGCACTAGCCAAACCAGCCTTGTCTCAAAGCCTTCTGTAGAATGCAGCACGTCTGCTCACTTATATGTCTCAGTAATATATAATTTTCTTTGTTTTTAAGGGTTTTGAGCATCTGTGTATCTTGTCCAGTTTTAATCTAGGTTAAAAAGTAGAAAGAAGATGTATCCTTGGTAGAGAAGCCTTATGATTAGAAAAGAAGAACATCCAAATGGTCATTGTCTTAAATAATTCAGTGTTTATCAACACCATGATAAGCAGTGCTCCCTTAAAAATACCAGTTTCATACTTTAGCATTGAACTTTTTATTCTCTATAAAAGAACTTAAAAGAGGGGCGCCTGGGTGGCTCAGTCGTTAAGCAGCTGCCTTCGGCTCAGGTCATGATCCCAAGGTCCTGGGATCGAGCCCTGCATCGGGCTACCTGCTCCGTGGGGAAGCCTGCTTCTCCCTCTCTCACTCCCCCTGCTTGTGTTCCCTCTCTCGCTGTCTCTCTCTCTGTCAGGTAAATAAATAAAATCTTTTAAAAAAAAAGAACTTAAAAGTGCATGAAACACTTAAAAATAAGCTTAATATTTCTCTAACTGAAACTTTAAAAATTATTAAAGTTATATGGTAGAAAATGAAAATGAATTTAATGACAGTGAGATTTTTATAGCTTTAGTCATACAAAATTTTATAAAGCACCTGCTGTATTGGGGTATTTTGTCTAAGGTAATGAAAAATTATATGAGTAGCAGTCCTTGTCAACAGTAGAACTAGAGAGAAGGACATGCAAACTAATAATTGCACTAAAGTGTGATACAGACTATAATAAAAGTACATACCAGGTGCTATAAGATCACAGAGATGGGAGCAACTAAGTCAATTTGGTAAGTTGGGTAATACACAGAAAGATGGAAACTTTGGAGCTATGTTTTGTAGACTGAATGTCAGACAGGAGGAGAATCAGTGAAAAACATTCTAGGCAGAGAGGACTACAGAAAGATAAACACTAATGAGAAAGAGCCTAGTGTGTTAGGGGGAATACCAATTAAGTTGAAGACCTAGAGCAGATGTTTGAGGTGGGAGACTCATAGGCAATAGGTTTAGTATAGAAAGTGTGGGGAAAACCAACTTGTGAAGCTAGTTTTTTATCAGGTTTCGAAGCTTGGGATTTCCCCTATAGAACAGTGGTTTCCAAAGTGTCTTTCAAGGACTTTCCTTACCTCCTGACATGGAATTGGGGAAGTATTTCCAGATTCCCCATTTTGCTTCAGAATTTTATATATCCTAGTTCACATGTTTAAATTAAAAAAAAATGCTGTTATGGGGTGGCTGGGTGGCTCAGTCAGTTAAGGATCTGCCTTCTGCTCAGGTCATGATCTTGGGGTCCTGGGATTAAGCCCCACATCAGGGAATGTGCTTCTCCCTCTCCCTCTGGCCCTCCACCTGTTTATGCTCTCTCTCTCTCTTTCTCACTACTTCAAACAAATAAATACAAGAATCTTTAAAAAATAAAAATAAAAAAAAACTGCTGTAGGTAAAATGAACCACTGTTAAGGCTCTGGGGGTTGGAAAAATGATTTTTTAGACTAAGTATCTATAAGCAAATTCTGATACAAGAATAAATTAGTCCTGTGCATATAAAAGAATATTGAGGGGATAATAGTGCTGGAAAAATATCTTCATACTCAATAGATGATAATCTATTTCTTTTTTTTTTGATATAGTGTTCCATGATTCATTATTTGCATATAACACCCAGTGCTCCATTCAGTGTGTGCCCTCTTTAATACTCATCACCAGGCTAACACATCCCCTCACCACTCTCCCCTCTAGAATGCTGTTTGTTTCTCAGAGTCCGTGTCTGTCATGGTTCGTCTCCCCTTCTGATTCCCCCCTTCATTTTTCCCTTCCTGCTATCTTCTTCTTTTTGTTTTTTTTAACATATTATGTACTAATTGTTTCAGAGATACAGGTCTGTGATTCAACAGTCTTACACAATTCACAGCGCTCACCATAGCACCCACCCTCCCCAATGTATATCACCCAAACCACCCCATCCTTCTCACCCCCCACCACTCCAGCAACCCTCAGATTCTTTCCTGAGATTAAGAATTCCTCATATCAGTGAGATCATATGATACATGTCTTTCTCTGATTGACTTATTTTGCTCAGCATAATACCCTCCAGTTCCATCCACGTCATTGCAAATGGCAAGATTTCATTCCTTTTAATGGATGCATAATATTTCATTGTATATATATACCACAACTTCTTTATCCATTCATCTGTCGATGGACATCTTGGCTCTTTCCATAGTTTGGCTATTGTGCACATTGCTGCTATAAACATTGGAGTGCATGTATGCCTTCAGATCCCTACATTTGTATCTTTGGGTTAAATACCCAATAGTGCAATTGCTGGGTCATATGGTAGCTCTATTTTCAACTTTTTGAGGACCCTCCATATTGTTTTCCAGAGTGGCTGCTCCAGCTTGCATTCCCACCAACAATATAGGAGGCTTCCCCTTCCTCCACATCCCTGCCAACATCTGTCATTTCCTGATTTGCTAATTTTAGCCATTCTGACTGTTGTGAGGTGGTATCTCATTGAGGTTTTCTTTGGATTTCCCTGATGCCAAGCGATGTTGAGACTTTTTCATGTGTCTGTTGGGCATTTGGAGGACTTCTTTAGAAAAATGTCTGTTCATGCCTTCTGCCCATTTCTTGATTGGATTATTTGTTCTTTGGGTGTTGAGTTTGATAAGTTCTTTATAGATCTTGGATACTAGCCCTTTATCTGATATGTCATTTAAAATATCTTCTCCCATTCTGTCGGTTGTCTTTTGGTTTTGTTGACTGTTTCTTTTGCTGTGCAAAAGCTTTTTATCTTGATGAAGTCCCAAAAGTTCATTTTTACCCTAGCTTCCCATGCCTTTGGCGATGTTTCTAGGAAAATTTGCTGTGACTGAGGTCGAAGAGGTTGCTGCCTGTGTTCTCCTTTAGGATTTTGATGGAATCCTGTCTCACGTTTAGGTCTTTCAACCATTTGGAGTCTATTTTTGTGTGTGGTGTAAGGAAATGGTCCAGTTTCATTCTTCTGCATGTGGCTGTCCAATTTTCCCAACACCATTTGTTGAAGAGACTGTCTTTTTTCCATTGGACATTCTTTCCTGCTTTGTCAAAGATGAGTTGACCATAGAGTTGAGGGTCCATTTCTGGGGTCTCTGTTCTCTTCCATTGATCTATGTGTCTGTTTTTGTGCCAGTACCATACTGTCTTGATGATGACAGCTTTGTAATAGAGCTGGAAGTCAGGAATTGTGATGCCACCAGCTTTGCTTTTCTTTTTCAACATTCCTCTGGCTATTCAGGGTCTTTTCTGGTTCCATACAAATTTTAAAATTATTTGTTCCATTTCTTTGAAAAAAGTGGATGGTATTTTGATAGGGATTGCATTGAATGTGTAGATTGCTCTAGGTAGCATTGACATCTTCACAATATTTGTTCTTCCAAGCCATGAGCATGGAACATTTTTCCATTTCTTTGTGTCTTCCTCAATTTCTTTCATGAGGATTTTATAGTTTTCTGAGTAGAGATTCTTTGCCTCTTTGGTTAGATTTATTCCTAGGTATCTTATAGTTTTGGGTGCAATTGTAAATGGGATTGATTCTTAATTTCTCTTTCTTCTGTCTTGTTGTTGGTGTATAGGAATGCCACTGATTTCTGTGCATTGATTTTATATCCTGACACTTACTGAATTTCTGTATGAGTTCGAGCAGTTTGGGGGTGGAGTCTTTTGGGTTTTCCACATAAAGTATCTTATCATCTGCAAAGAGTGAGAATTTGACTTCTTTGCTGATTTGGATGACTTTTATTTCTTTTTGTTGTCTGATTGCTGTGGCTAGGACTTCTAATACTATGTTGAATAACAGTGGTGATAGTGGACGTCCCTGCCGCGTTCCTGACCTTAGGGGAAAAACTCTCAG